TAAATTTGACTGTGCTTAGTTATCACTAAGACCAAACTGGAGTGAATGCAAACAAATTTAAATCTTTACATAATTATATTTAGTTTGATTGGTGAATCTGTGTATGAAAAGCACCAAAAATGCATGATTTTGGTTTATTGGGTAATCTGATAACTGGCACTGCCTCCTCTGCCAATCTCTTTTCCTTCTTGTTTGTAGCCATTATTAATTCTTTTGTCATTGTTGTTTTTGCTTAGATAGTCGAGATTTTTGTGTGTTTTAGTCAATGTCCTGCTGAAGCCCACCTTATGTTTCTTCATATATCTGCAGCCAGCCCCAGTGTTATGGCCTCAGGGGTCACTGGGAGTGTTTCTGTGGCCTTACACCCTTTGGTTATCCTCAACATATCAGACCACTGGATACGCATTCGGTCCCAGGAGGGCCGACCGATGCAGGGTATGTGTGATTTAACTTCAGTTCTTTACTCTTTAGCATATGATTATGAATTTATAAAGACGGTACCGTCTTAGGGGGTTTTTTTTGGCATAGCTTTACAAGCATTTTTATTTAAAAGAACAACAAAAGTTTGTTTATAACAGTATTAATTTAGATAGACATCTGTTGTTTTTTTGTCTGCTTTGTCTTCTCAGTGATTGGAGCTCTGATTGGGAAACAGGAGGGTAGAAACATTGAGGTGATGAACTCCTTTGAGCTGATGTCTCACACCATAGATGAGAAAGTGCACATCGACAAGGAGTATTACTACACTAAGGAGGAACAATGTAAGAATCAATGATTTCATTATTGATGTCAAAGAACAATTTGACAATTATAGAATAGCATAAGACAATTTCAAGGAACATGAATTGGTTTGTCAGTGTTGAATTTTAACATTTTCACAGGTTAAAATTGTAATCTTATTGGAAGAAATAAATAATATGAAAGCATTTTTCCAACTTTGGTAACCTGCTAGAAGAGACAGAAATGCTTGTTTTCATGGAAAGAACTGAAAGGCATGAAAACTGGTTACAATAGTTTCTGAAAAATTATGTCCTCACAAAACAGAGAAATAAATAAGGATTGAGATGTCATGACCATAATCCTCTACTTCATCTTTCTTCTTTGCTCTGAGGGAAACGATCCACTGGTGCTAACATTTTTCTATGCCTGCCAGCCATTTCTTTGCAGATCAATGTAACAAAATTTAATTAAACACAGCCTTTAACCTTATTTTTCAATGTTAGTAAGTCTTCCAAAGAAACCCCAAATCAGCTACAAAGTGGCTTAAACACAACAGACTTAATGTTTGGTTGTGCCCGTCACAAAGCCCTGTAGAACATGTGTTTATGCAGCAATAAAAATGTAGAAAATATGACATCAGTTTTATGTCCCTTAGTTAAACAGGTCTTCAAAGACATGGAGTTCCTGGGTTGGTACACCACAGGTGGTCCTCCAGACCAGTCAGACATTCACATTCACAAACAGGTTTGTGAACACATAAGCCAGTGGCAGCAGTTTAAGGATAATTTCAGTGATTAAAATGACAAATCAGCCTTATTTATGTGTTTCTGTTTTCCTTTTGCACCAGGTGTGTGAGATCATCGAGAGCCCCCTCTTCCTCAAACTGAACCCGATGACCAAACACACTGACGTAAGTCTACCTGCTTTTCCAGTTCAAGGCTGGAGCAGCTGTGGATGGATTTCATTTTGATCCCGTCGCTTTCGTGTTGTTTTTTTCCTCAGCTTCCTGTTAGCGTTTATGAATCTGTGATAGACATCATCAGTGGCGAGGTAAGACTTCCTACCCAGCTCAGTCAAAATGCTTTTTTCCTACCATAATAACTTGATTTCCTATTTATTTATGGGTTATTTGTTGTTGTTTTTAACCAGGCCACTATGTTGTTTGCTGAGCTAACATACACTTTAGCCACAGAGGAAGCAGAGAGGATTGGTGTTGACCATGTGGCTCGAATGACAGCCACTGGAACTGGGGAAAATTCAACTGGTAAGTAAGCTTATTGCCATAAATCACTTAATTGCTGCTTGATCATTTCAATTCTAATGATTAATATTTTTTAAAGGGCAACTATATTTACAGAGACTTCATAATCCATTTCACTTATGGTTTTGGTTGTGTGTGACGTTTATTTCTGATTTATTTATTGTTTTTAGTTGTTTTGTTAAATTTTATTTGATGAATGTGCTTTTGTATTTATTATTTTATTTAAAATATCTTCCAGTTCCAGTGTTTAGTGATTTATTTTTAACAAAATCAGTTAATTGGTCTTTGAGAGAGCAAATTTGTATTATTGTGCAATTATCATTATATTATTTGAAATAATTAATATGATTGGTCTTCAAACAATCATGTTATCGTTTATTACAATAATAATTATTGTAATAATTTCTGGGACAAATTGTCATCGAGGTTGTACCTGTACCACAGATTACATGAGAATATACAATCCCTTCTCATTCAGATCAATTTGATGGGACATATTGCCATTTAAATGAATTTTATAGTTGAGTAACTGGATGCTTTGACACTTATTTGTCCCTCTGTTTTCTGCTTTAGTGGCTGAACACCTCATTGCCCAGCACAGCGCGATAAAGATGCTCCACAGCCGAGTAAAGATCATTCTAGAGTACGTCAAAGCCGTCGAAGCAGGTAAGCAATCATATTTATGAAGCACTGAAGGGGAAAGAATATTAAGACATGTATATACAAAGCAGCTGTTACCAAATATTTATTGGTAAAAACAATTCCTTAATTTTAAGTTGCACTTATACTACATCCTGACGCGTTATCTCACTGGACTCATCTTTCTTCTGTGTTTGTGTGATAGGAGAGGTGCCGTTCAACCACGAGATCCTGCGAGAAGCAAACGCTCTTTGCCACAGATTGCCGGTCCTCAGCACCACAAAATTCAAAACTGACTTCTATGATGTATGTAATCACCATAACTAAGCATTTGGGTTCACTTATTCAACTATTTATATCATGAAGTAACAGAGGCAAAATTCTTAGTATGAATATATCAATCAGCTGATACTTCATCTGCAGCAGAAACATGCGAGTTCTACAGCTTCGAGAGCATTTTTTTCTTTAACACTGCCTGCTTATATTAAAAGACTAACAGTTTTATAGAGCTGAGTCAGAAATGGGGTTTATGGTTTCAGGGGAAAATGATGAGCAGTTAGTGGCGCATTGACCTATTAAAACTCCATGACTGTGAAGAAAATTGGAGACAGGTTCTGTTATTGTGACGCTAACTTTTTTTTTAAATATCTAACTATTTGATAATGTTAATGCCACTGCAAGATCTTCTGATATCATGCAACTCAACAAAATCTGAGAATATATAATCTTTTGTCCGAAAGGAACAAATTGACACATAGTTGCTGAAAATATATCTTCTCACTGGAAGCAATTTTGTTTTGCATGGTTGTTCATACTGCAAATTAAATGCGACTGCAGTTAGACTTATGAGAGCATGTATGCACAGAAGAAGAAAGTTGTGTCACGCAGCAGTGCCCTGTGTACAGATATAAGTCGACATTATTGTCAGAAGATTATAACAAGACAAAGGAAGTCAACAAAAAGAAAGCAACACTAATTGAAATGGCCTTTTGTGGAGCATTTACTGTAACTTCTGTAGAGAAGTTTGTTAGGATGCTTTGTCAAACCAGCAGTAGTCTGTGATGTGCTTCAGTGACAGAGCTCTTTTATAAATTCATAATCGTTTTCAGCCATTATTTATGTCTGTATTTAACCCATGTGATTTCTTGCAGAATTGTGATGCATGTCTCACTTCAATGTTGGATAAAAAGCATCATGACCCTTCTGACTACAAACGTTTTGAAAACTATCGAATGCAGATCCAACGTAATAAAACTTAAAGACGTGGCACATTTCACTTTTTTTATTTATTTGGGTGAAAAGGTCAGAATTGGTCCGTTCAGATTGCCGTAAAAAAGTTTGATTTGAGTCGGATTTGATTGCCGTGTGAACGTAGCCTTAGTGTTTTACTGAAAATTCATTGCTTAACAGAATAACATTTTAAGGCTTTTGAAATGGTGGCAACAGATTAGTTTTGTTCATCTCTGAACAAAAAGTGTTCAGATATGAAAACTTTTTGCTGCTTCTCACTTTTTTCACTTCCTGTTTCCCTGCAGCAATGTAACGATGTGGGGCTCATGGCCTACTTAGGCACCATCACCAAGACCTGCAACAGTATGAACCAGTTCATCAACAAGTTCAACGTCCTGTACGACAGGCAGGGCATCGGCCGGAGGATGAGAGGACTCTTCTTTTGAGCTGACAGGGAGGCAAACACTCTTTTCTGTTCTCTCTTTTTGTTTGTGTTAAAATAAAATAAAAAAGATTTTACACCTTCAATCTATCCAAAACCACTCAGATCAGTTTCAAACCTCTCTACAGCAGTGAGATCGCTGAACATGGACGTTATTTTACCCGGTTCGTTTTATTGTTTCACGTTTCTGTATGTAATAAAATGTTTTTTTTTCATGGTGCTTTGTGTCTTCTTCCAGAAGGTAATTCTTTTGGGCTTTTACTATAGTAATTATAAAGACCCCAGAAATGTATAGGTCTGCAGATTTAAACAAGCCCATGAAAGTTTTGTAATGTGAAGCTGTGGGTTTGTTATGTGGAGCTTTGAGGATTTTACAGTCAACTCGTTCTTGGTTTTTTTTTTTTTTTTGGTTTTTTTAAGTTGCGTTCCTGCTGCGTGACTGCATGCAGAGGGTTTGAAGGAGGCAGGTAAACGTGGCAGCACAGGAAGCCATTTATAGCCGTAGAGACTACCGTGGATAAGCTGAGTCAGCATTTGTTTGGGTATTAAATGCACAGCAGAAGCCGATATAATGACCCCCTGCTTGTGTGTTAAGCGTTTACAAGGTTTGTTTTTAGCTGCCTGGTGGCTCTGGGAGAGCAAACCTTGTTCTTCCATCATTTTGCACCTTTTTAAAAGGCGAAATTCAACTCATTAACTGATGAAAACCAAATTTATCTGATTTTATTGCCTCTACTAAATCACTGGTTGACAACCACATTGACTGACAATTAACATTGTGACAGTCATGATAAATACAATAAGATGTCTTTTTAATCATATCACACATTTCTTTGATGAATGTTTCAAAGTCCGTGGAAACATGAGACTCTTTTTTCTCAGGCACTGAGAGGACTGCTCACTCGTCAGCAGGCTCGTCAGCAGCATCTTCTGGCTGGGGGTACTGGAAGCGGACCGGGTCGTACAGTTCATTCCTGGGGTCATAAGGGTGGTGTTGGAAGTAGGGATAAGGGTTGTAGGAGAGTTTCTTCTCTTTGAGCGGCGGAGGCGCTGGCTCCTCTACTTCCTCTTCTTCCTCCTCGGGTGGTGGAGGAGGTGGGGGTGGGGGGCCCATAATCTTCCCCTTGACAGGTCTTGGAGGGTTGTCAATCAGGCAATCCGGGTCCCAGTAGGGGTCACAGTCATACTCCATACCTTTGAAGACACGGATGGGGGCCGGAGGAGGAGACTTGACCAAAACCGGAGGAGGCGGAGGCATCTTCTTATGATAAGGCTGCTTAGGAACCACCAGCGGGGGCGGCGGGGCTTTCTGCGGGGTACAGTGGGGGTGGTACCGAGGGTCGCAGAGCACCGGAACAGCGCCGGTGGGCAAGTAGACGATGTGCGGCTTGCAGAGGGGGTCCTTGTTGTTGCACAGGAAAAGCACATCGGCCTGGGAAATGGCTGGAGCGAGAGGAAGAGGAGGTGGAGCCTCCGTAGGATTGATGGGCTTTGGGACTCCTTTCATCGGAGGTGGTGGAGGAGGAGCGGCGTATTTGCACCTCTTGTCTGTGACGGGGTCGCACATGATCATTGGCACACCCAGTTTGCTTTGGAAGTAGGAGGCGTTTGGGCCGTAGGCGTGCTCCAGGTACCTCATCTGCTGGTAGAGCATCCGCAACTTGTCGATCTCATAGAGCTGAGAGGAGAAAGGACAGATCAGTGTGGTTGTCTCACAACCTACAAATATGCAGAAAACTGTCGATATTCTGTTAATATAAGAAACTATTAAAATCTCATGTGAATAGGTTTATTCACACAATAGGGCATTAAAAAATCACTTTCATCGTATTCTTCACCTAATAACATCCAGTTATTGATCACGTTACTCATGTTATCCAAAAAAAGTGTTTCCATTGGTAGTGTTGCAAAATTCACTACTTTTTTATACAGCCGAAAAACCACCTCATTGTAGTGAAATAACTAATTTTTTTAGTTGTCGTGTTTCCTATTAAGCAGATTTATTTTAGTAATTTCAATTTGTGCAATTTTAAAGTAAATGGGAACTTAGCTAATCCCACCACTTAGGTAGGGATGTCATACTCATTTTCCCTTTGGGTCATATAAAGATTATGCATATTCTCATAAGGCCAGTTGTACCAAAATGTGTTGAGGGGTGGGGGGGGGAAACATGAACAAATTGTTCAAATATTAATAAATAGCTGCCTCTGTATTTGATAAGAACTGCTTAAAATAAAAACATTTTATTACTTTGATGTTAATTGGCAGCATAGGGATAAAAACTGCCTTGATTGATTAAAATACTATTTAAGAACACAACTGTTATCTTTGAGGTCCTGTTTATGTTATGCTCTTAAAAGTGCAGATGTCCACATAAAACGCTACGGCGGGCCGGAGTTGGCCCCCGGGCCTTGAGTTTGAAACATAAGAAGCTGTGTGTGTGAATCTCCAAGCAAAAGTCTCAGACATTTTTATTTTAGCACTTTGACACGGTGAGAGGACTTTTTGTGATTTTCACACCATAATGTAACTTTTGATTCTCTCTGTGTTCCTTTTCAGTTGTGTTTAAACAACGGATTCAAAATGAAACACTTATAAAAGTGCAATAGTTATAATAGTTGGCAGAAAATGTTTCTGTAAACGACTCCATTCCAGTTTTGACACGTAAATCAGTTTATGGCGTTTTTTTCAACTAAGATATTAAATGACACATTGTAAATTGGAACCAGTGAGAACTGGTTTGGTTTTGACATCATTATGGAAGCTTGTTACCCCCTCGGTGTGCCCGATGCTGCTGTAGTATCTGTAATAGGCCTGAAAGTCTGGGTTTCCTCGGTACCACCTGGGATCCGCCGCGTTGCGCTTCGGTCTGGAGTGAGACAGGAACTCGTTGGCTTTCTCCGAGTTGATGCTCACGTCACTCAAAGGCACCATTTCTGTTAGACAAAAAAAAAAACAACCCACAATCTATATATTAAAAATAAAAATCAAGGCATCTGCTTAAATTAAAATGCTTTAAGGGACCTAGGTTCTGTACCTTCCTGTTTGATGGCACTGAGCAAAGATTTGGCCTCCAACAGGCCTGCGAAAGGAAATCCGTTTATTGATTATTGAACAGTGGTTTCCAAAAATAGCCGCAAAGTGAAAGAAATCAACACTGACCTGAGAGAAAGAGGAGACCGCATAGCGGCCCCAGCAAGCAGGACAAAGAAATCATGTTGAACCTGCAGCCCACAAAACAACAACAAAAAAGGTTCAAAAATGTGTCATTTATATCTACAATAATCAACTTACTGGTCCTCGTCTTATTGAATTGGCTTAAAATGTTTTCTATTTTAAAAATGCTAGGAAATTAGCACATAGTATTTGTATTCACATATTTAAAAAAAACAAAAACTGATATATCTGCTCCTAATCTCTAAAGTACAACTTAAACATAATAATGTAGCTGCAAATTTGTTCATGATGCCAATAAATGTTCCACTTACCAGGCCAAGGAGGCTGTCTCCACTGGTCCAGCAGGACCGGGTGGGCTAAATATCAAACCCCTCTGTCCTCCTTTCAGTAATTTTATCCTCTGTCCAATTGGATTTCCCCAAACTTTTAGACCAAAATCTTGTCTCCTCCTCTTTAAAAAAAATGTTTAAAAGTGAAGCCCCTTCAGCACCAATTAGGGGAAAAAAAGCCTCTGGACCAAGGCCATAAACAACAAGACTTCAAATGGAAACACCCCATTAGGTCTGGAAGGAAATCATCACCTGCTGGGACCATCTACAAAAAAATGCCTCAGCAGAACAAAAAAATCTGTAAACGAAACCATAGATCACAACCATAAAGGTATATTTAAAAAGAAGTTTTCCAGGTTCCTAATACATATTTATGTCCTCCAAGTGGTTGTTGCAGTTGTAAGAACATCTGCTTTCCCAGCAGCTCCACATCTGAGGACAGCTATTGAAACAGCTGCATTTTCACACTTTCTGCCTCAGCATGTTCACTATTAAATTTAAAGTGCTTTGCATTGTGCAGCGTTTTTCCACACAGATGTCATTCCAAATAAACCTGACTAGTTTATCAGCTGCTGTTTATCTACCATGGAAAAGTCACATTCCCATGCAGAAATCTGGTAATGTCAATTACTGCAATGAATACTGAAAATACACAGCCCTCTTGAATGTTTATTTGGATCTCAGGTAAAAGACCGACACAAAGTAAGCGAATACTTGTGAATTGGAAAATGTTAAATGGTTTTACAAAATTTTTAAAGTAACTTGAAGTCCGTCATGAACTCTGACACGAGTATCGGTTACCTTTTCACAGTGATTTTATTCAGTAAAAATGGTCACTGTGTCTAATTTCATATCAGTTTAAATTGTTAGCAATTACTGAAATTATAGAGCTACAATTTAAGAGTTTGGATCAAAGCTTGCTGTACTTGTGTTAAAATGGCTTTGTCAAAGTCCAGACCTTGATAATTGACACGTTAAATCTCAAGCTGAGCTGTAATTACAAAGTTGCATCAACAGAGAATTATTTTAAAAGCATCTTTTTTTTAAATGGAATTTTTTATTTCCCACCATAATTTTCAGTTTCTGCTCATCATGCAAAAATGTACAAAATGTATGAATTCTTTTGGAAGACAATTTCTTCAAGAAGAAACCAAGAATGTATTGTGACAATTTAATTGCAAACGATTTTTCAAAAAACTTGGTGAGGTTGACAATAAGTACTAGTTGCATGTTTTCAAGTTGGTTTTGCTGCCTGGTTTAACTGAACAGAACCAGGTATTAATAGTTTACTTTCCATGTGCATAACAAAGTCAAAGTAAACATGAGGCAGAATATTGAAGCATTTATTATAACTCTCCTCAAATACAGGGGACAACATTTATTTGCATTACAATATATAAAATATACAGAAATTCTCAATGTGAACTAGATGCTTCTGCCAACTGCACATACAACACTATCCTATGTTCTGACATACATATTTACAAGCAGTTTCATAGGTTTCTGAAACATTAGCAATGGGGCCTCAAGAGCACAAATTATTTGAAAACAGACAGGCATAAGCGAAAGTCCATGTTCTGCCTGACTTGTGTTACAAAATGCAGGAAGAAGGAAGAGAGAGCGGGTCGGAGCCTGTGGATCAGACGAAGGTGATCCTGGTGCGGGCCTGGTTGATCTGCCACACGTTCAGCTCCTCGTACTCCTCCAGCGCCTCCTGGAACTGATCAGGAGTGAAGCCACGAGAGATGCAGCGCTGCTCCGCTTCGGCCATGCGGACCACGCCGCCGCGGCCCACAGCGCCCTCTGTGGCGAGCTCACGCACCAGCGAGAAGATGATGTCTGCCGGACGCTGGGTCCTACGGAGAGAGAGAGAGAGAGAAAGAGAGAGAGAGAGGGTTCAGAGGTTAGAAAGACGTTGAAAACTCATTTTAAACCAGGATATAATGTGGAAAATAATCTGAAAGCAATTAAAGCTCCAAACTGTTGAATTTAAGTGTTTTTTTTAATAAGTTAGAAAAAAACTGCTTTGCAAAGGACAAAGAAGCTGTAAAGCGTCTTTCAGAACGTTAAAACAGGAAGTTTTAACGTTCTGAAGATCTGAAGCGAATCGCAGGCAACATGCACAAGTAGCAGAATGGAAAACATCCAGACGTCACTGAAGAGAAACAAAAACAATACCGCTGGAAATGAACTGTGATGTTTGAATTTTACTACTACTACTTTTTCCCTTTGAATAACTGGTCTGGAAACAAGTCTGTAGACGGTCATATCAATTTCATGTAATTGAATTTTTAAAAATCACATTTAAGTGTGTAGATATTAAAATCAAAGTTTAGTACTCGTAACTGGTGAGATATGGAAAGTCTATTTCACATGAATCATATTTGAACGTTAAACTTGATAAAATGTATTTTTTGGATGAAATTTCTAAATTAGAAAAAAAAATTGACAGATTAAAAATATTAGTACAGCACTTCATTTTTAAATGAGCAAAAACAGATTTTTTCCAAATGAAATGTTCCAATTTTTTATCCAGTCTTAAGAAATTATAAAAAATAAAAGAATAATCTGCATCTTTTCTGGTCTACACAGGAAACCAGAGCGTCACTAAAAGTTTCCTAATTTGGTCCAAGTTTAAAAAGAGTCAAGTTTTATGTTTTCAAAGAATTCAAACCCTGACGGCGATGCAAACATGTAAAAAGTGAACACGTTGCTTGAAAAGCCCGTCTCTCCATGAAGAGCCATAAAAACCCAGAGAGGTTTTACAGCTTCCGCCAGAACAAACAGCTACTTTGATCAAAACAGAAGCAGCCCATAAAAGAGGATTGTGGGTCAGCATACGTCCCCCGCCTCCTGCACCTCAGTAATCCCCAACATGGCGACGTGATGCAACACCAACCTGGTGGTGCCGGACTTGTCGGCTTGTAGAGAATCCTTTGACATCTCCATCAGCCTCATCGCTTCGTTGACGTCCTCCTTCTCCACAGCGTCCATCATCCGAAGTCGAGCCTGAAGAGCGGGGAAGTGCAAGCGAGTTAGAAAAATAAATAAATAAACAAAACCTTTCAAAATATGAATAAGAGTCCAGGTCCGTGTGGGCTGCGCTATGCCGGCACTGTCAGACCGAGACAAGTGCAATGCCCTCTGGAAAGGCCGGCAATTGCCCAAGTCTCCGCCTCTCAAAACCAGCTAGTCTCTCCACAGGTGGGGAACAAAATCCAAAACAGACAAAGCGATATAAACATCTGTAGACTCCATGTGGAGGGTGGGTTATGACGGCTGTCCAGGCCATGGTCAGTTTTGCATGGGTTTGCACAGCTGCTCTGATTGAACACAGGCTGACTGCCCACCCTGCAAAGCTGACCAGAACTAGGCTGGGAGAAACCTGCGTTGAAGGAATAAAATATCAGTACAAGTCACCAAAACTTACTAAATCAAGCTGATGTGTGGCGGCAGTCTGCCCCCTAGTGGCTACTTGCCCACCTGTTTACCTGAAGTGCTGGTTTTGCAGTAGGAGGATAAATGCTACCTGCACAAACAGCACTTTTGACAACCAGAGGCAGACGGAAGCAAGACCAGGTGGAAGTTTATGTACAAACATTATAGTTAAATGAACAGAGATTCTTTACCTTTCCTAAAACTTTTCCATATCTATTCAGGAACAGTCTACACATTTGATTGCAAAACATTAAACCTGGTATGGTTTTATTCCATAAATTATGAAAATAAACAAAGTTGTCTTGTGTTTTAGCAGTGTTAAAAATTTAGTTCTAAACAAATTTTTTGGCACCTTTTTTGGATGAATTTAGACACTTAATGTTTTTTGTTCTCTGATTTATGAACTTTACATTTTTAAAGGTTTTAAAAAATTAAAAGGTTGCTTTAAGTTTGGAATTTGAGGGAATGTTGAATACAAAAGAAAGGATTTACAAGATTATCCAACTAATGCTTTAAAATGTATATCCCAAACTTATTTAATGTTTTAGTATCATTTAGAAACAACAAAATTGTAATCTAAACCAGAAGAAGCAGCAATACTATTAAAAAAGGGGGAAATGTTGAGACTCAAGACCTTCCTACCCCACTCATGCTTTAAATGAAATCCTATTAAGGAGACTTTAGGAATTCTTTAGGAAACAAAAACCCTCTGAAGAGTCGGTCCGGCGTGGGAAAGAAGTGCTCACACTGCAGTAGACCAGGTAATCATCACTACCTGCACTGTAAGCACTTTATCACACACTGGGCCGTCGATGAGCACAAATCCCTCCAGACTGAACATTTAACAAACAACAGACGTGAGAAACTGACTTTCTGATGCAACGCGAGTGTTGGATGGTGCAGAAGGTTTTTAATAAGTGATGGTAATCCTCACCAGTGCAGTGGACAGGCGCAGGATGGAGAGGAGGGTACGAGCCGAGGTGAAGGTGGTATCTTTGCTGACCCGAGCCTCTTTCCTCATTTCTACGTAAGCGGCGGTGATGTAATCCGCCAGCACCTCCGGCACGACCGGCTGACGCTTCTTACACAGAGCGATGTAGCGTCTGAGAGGAATAATAATCACTTTTAACTTCTTACTAATGCCTGGATCAGATGGGGGTCTTACCCATACTTGTTTTTGCTCACCTCATGAGTTTCATGTCGATGGGGGTGAAGTGAGTCGGCGGCTGGCGGGAGTGCTGGTGGACGTATGTGATATGCTGCGCCAGCCGCAGGTCGGCGTCGGCGTCCGGTTTGTCCTGGATGAGCCACAGCAGATCGAAACGCGACAGCAGCGCCGCCGGCAGCTGAATGTTCTGCTCGATGCTCTTCCGCGGGTTGTAGCGGCCGTAGGCGGGGTTAGCGGCGGCCAGGATAGAGCAGCGGGCGTTCAGGGAGGTCATGATGCCGGCCTGGAGAGACGAGCAGCTGCTAGAAACGAGGCCGGTTTCATCTTCAGATTGAAGTTTGGTTAGAGTCAGTAGTACCTTAGCGATGGAGATGGTCTGCTGCTCCATGACCTCATGGATGGCCGTGCGGTCGGCGTCGGCCATCTTGTCAAACTCATCAATGCA